TCACTGTATTGAATAAATACCTGGGGTTATGTTTGTTTTCTTCTAAAAAAGACTATAAGTAATCAGATCTAGCAGTTTTTAATGCTTTTTTTGTAGGATAGGGTACTTTCCCGCCATGCAATACTAAATACCTCTAGTTTTGTTTTCCTCCAGCTGTGCTCCATTTTCCAGGCTGCTCTCTTTAGAGCAGGTGCGAGTGTGCTCATTTTCCCACGGTGTCAGACCTTAATCTTCCTTAAGCAAAAAGGAGAAACCGTATCTAAAATGCTGGAAAAGAGATAGTCCATAGTTTCTGTTACATCATCACATTGTTCTGAGGTATTGGATATGCTGAGGAATTGAGATAAATCAGGAAGATTACTTTCAAAGCAGTCTTTTGTGGTAGAAGTGATGGTTCTAGCATACTTGTAACAAGGAGTAGAATTTACAGTTTTAGCTATATGAAGTTTGCACAAGACTAGATAATGATCTGCGATATCATCGCTTGGCTGCATAATTTCAACACCATCAACATCAATTCCATGTGACAGTGTTAAATGATTTTGACAATAAGTAGGTCCTGACACGTGTTGTCTAATGCCAATAGAGTTCAAAATATATGAATGTTGATCCCAATGCATCTTTTTCATTATCAACATGGATATTAAAATCACCAACAATTAAAACTTTATCTGCAGCCAGCACTAACTCGGATAGAAAATCAGAAAATTTTTTAATAAATTCTCTATGGTGCCCTGGTGGCCTGTATACAGTAGCCAGTACAAACGTCACAGGGGATTTATCATTAACACTTGTTTCTCTGGGTAATGTTATTTGAATCACCATTACTTCAAACTAATTTTACTTGAAGCCCGCCCTCTGAGAAATACTGAAAATATTGTTATAAATTCTGTCAATCTACAAACACATGTTTTATCCAGTCATTTTAAAGGCTTTCTCCTGGAGAATCATGACTTGTGACTCCATGTGCTGCTGTCAGGATCACGTTCAGCTCGTTCACCCACAAACCATCTGCTTTTAGCATTGAGATGTTATTCTCATGACCATCAAACACATTCACTTCCAAACTCTCACTCGTGTGAAGAACAGATCATTTACAGACAGAAATCATCGTTCTGTCATAATTTCCTCTCATTCAAACCTGACTTTCTTTCTTCAGTGAAACACACACAAAGAGATTCTGAGAAATGTCCCAGTGTTTTCTGTTCATATAATGAAAGTCAGAGGGGTCCAGTGTTGTTTGTCTCCCAACATTCTTCAAAATACATTTACATTTGTTCACTCACTCACTCACACACACACACACACACTCGTCCTCATCAGACACACTCACACTCACAGAAACGTACACTCACTAACACAATTTCAACAGCTTGAAATGTCATGTCATTTACAGGTTTAAACCACTGATCTACAATAGAAATAAAACTAATAAAAACTAATTCCACAGTTAATAATTAAATGCGTGACAATAAAAACAGCAACTCATAACACAAGAACACAAAACACTGGAAATGGCTGGAGCTCCATAAGGTGAATAATGAAAATGATTTATTGACTATGACCATATGAATTGAAAGGTAATTCTGATAGTAATAATAGAAATGATTGATGATACACTACATTAAAAACTAAATCAACACAAACAGGTTAAGAAAAGTACAGAAACACATGGTCCCTCAGCAGGACTCACATACATGAGGATTTATTACACACATTTATTCTCACGTTATTTCAGTGACAGAAGTTCAACTGCAGTATTAATGTCATGAAGAGAAAAGAAGAGACTCTATAACATATCACTGCTACTGATTCATGATGCAGCTCAAAGCATTCTGGGTAGAATCAGTTTCATTGATGATCTTTTTTTAACCCCAAACCCAGGATAGAGTGGCTGAGTGAATGTGGTCTGGACTGTGTGGATGAGGCTCATTGTGTCAGAGACGCTGTAGAAGGACAGAGTTCCTGCACTGTGATCCACAAACACTCCTATTCTCCTGATGATGGACTCTACAGAGAGATCAGTCTGTATCTTATTGTGTATGAATGTGTAACTGGAGGGAGTGCAGATCAAACTCCAGGACTGATCATTACATCCAAACCAACACTCATCACCCCATCCCTTCCTACTGATGCTCTTATATGACACTGATATTCGCACACCATAATTTCCACTCCACTCCAGCTCCCAGTAACAGCGTCCACACACACTCTCTCTACACAACACCTGACGATACACATCAAATCTGTCTGGATTATCAGGATACGACTGGACTGTGTAAGCGACAGTAATCACTCTGTTGCTCTCAGAAAGACGGAGGTGTTTATTCACTGTGTTCAGATCCAGAGTGAGCTTATGAGCATCTGATGGAGAAAACACATCAGTATCAGGAATTATGAATCTGTTTGATCGTTTCATGTAGCTGAACTCTTCCTGTTCAGTGTATCATCAGTGTCTCAGTACAGATGAGCAGATATCTCGTGCAAATCATCATTTACATCATTAGTCATAATACTCTTCTGTCACCTTCTACAGGAAGAACATGAACACACTCAGAGAGTTTTTCTGCTCGTTTCTTACTGACTTACATTGTAGGAAGTCGTTCCTGGTTCTGGGAACAATGCTGGTGAGTGTTTCTGTGGAAATCAACAGACATGAACAGTGTGCTTCTCATGATCCTGCATCCATTTCTAATATGATGGTCTCCATGATATGAGCTGATGATGGACTGGTTTCTGAGAGCAGATAATCCAGTAAACGTAGGACTGGTGACTAATGCCTGTAGGATCAAACTCTAGAAGTGATGATCGGTTACAATCATCATATATGAATTATGATGAAGATTAAGGCCTGTTTCACACTGTAAGTGTAAGTATTATAAAAGTGAAACTGACACATATGTAGAACTTCTCACTGACAGTATTTCTGCTGTGTAGCAGAGCTTGTATTTTGACTGATGGAAGTATATATTTTGTCAAAGAACAGATGAATAGTTCACTCCATTAGTTCAGTCCATGTTTCCGGTGCATTTTCAGCAAACAGTGAAACTGCTGTTCATTTCTGCTTTTTACTTTCACTTTCAAATTAGCAGCAATTGAATTGCAGCAATTCGGCGTCAAGCAATTGTTCGTTTGAGTTTTCCCTCTTTTCCTCGAATTTCTTGGCTTTCAAATAGATTGAAAAAGCACCCTGCGCATTTTACTTTCACTTTCAAATTAGCAGCAATTTGGCGTTGATTCAATTCAAGCAACAACAACGTCAAACTCAGAAATTTTATTAACAAAACAAATAAAAATACACCATATATGCCTAATAAAATAACAAATTACTTAGGCTACATAAGGTTTAAATAGGTATATAAAACTGAAAATCAGCAAACACTGTGGAACCAAATAAATAAGAAACATAGAACGTTTATTAGCAAAACGAATAAGAAAGCTTGGATGCACGGCATATACACCTTGATGTAAAATAAAATAAATAAATGTCTCTCTGCCTTGTGTATGTGTCTTGTTTCCCATAGGTTTGTTCTTGTCATGTGACCCTCTTGTCTGCTATAAGTAGCCCTCATGTTCCCATAGTCTTCGTCGTGTATTGATGTTGTAACCTGCTCTCGGTGAGTCTACTCTGTTCATGCCACGTCGAGTCTGTTCAAGTCTGTTCATGTCAAGTCAAGTCAAGTCTGTTCATGTCAAGTCAAGTCTGTGTATCTAGTCTTCGTCTGTTTCGATTAGGTTTGGATCACCTGTAAATAAACTGCACTTGAGTTCTTCACTACACTCGCCTTCAGTGGACTGATTCGTTACAGTGGTGCACTGTCGTTCACGCACACTTCGGCACGCTGCATTGAGCATTTAGTTTTTAAAAGTGTCTGTTCTCTAACTGAAATAGGCTAAATGATTTTTGTTACTATAAAAAAATCTAAACGACAGTGGGGGGCGGTGCCGCGGTAGGCAAATGACGTAACCGGTATAACCGAAAACACGTCTATCGCAGCAAACCTAAAACACATATGAAACGAGTGTCAGCAATATTTCATCAGTGTCTAGTTTTAAATACCTGTTTCTCTGTCGTCTGTGCTGCAGCTGATACAGTGTCATGGTTTTTATGTTCATCCATCATACACAGCATACATATATATTTCTGGTCAGTGCGACAGAAAACCTCAAGGAGCTTCTCATGTTTCTGGCAGATCATCTCCTGCAGTTGTCCAGTAGCATCAGTCACTTTGTGTCTCTTTCCTCTAAACCAACTCTCATGTTGTTCGAGGTGATCCTGACAGTAAGAGTTCAGACACACCAGACAGGACTTGACGGCTGTGTGTTTTCTTCCAGTACAGACGTCACACTGCACATCTCCAGCTCCAGCGTAACAGTCAGCAGGACGTTTTCTCTTCTTCAGTTTCTCCGTCACTTCAGCCAGCATGCGGTTTCTAGATAAAGCAGGTCTTGGACTGAAGGTCTGTCTGCACCGAGGGCAGCTGTAGACTCTCATCTGATCCTCCTGATCCCAGCGGGCTGTAATACAGTTCTCACAGTAACTGTGTCCACACTGGATGGTCACCGGATCCTTCAGGAGATCCAGACACACTGGACACGGGAACTCATCCTGAGAAAATCTGGCTTCTGCCATTTTACTGCATGAATACAGAGACAGAAACACATAACAGTTCAACTACACTTTCACTTTCTCTTTCCTTGAACTGATTCCTGTTTCCTGGTTCTGTGTTTGAGTGACGTGTGTAAAACATGTCTGCGAGTCTGTAAATCTCCTGTGGAGTTTAGTTTTTACATATGTGACCTCAAATCTATGGCTGTTAGGAATGTCGGCCAAATTGACTACGCCACCCCCACTTACTAGGATAGGGGACCCTAACAATGATATCTTTAACACAGGTAGTTCAAATAAATAGAAGCCAGAGTACAAAAAGGTTAATACTTTATTAGAATGACAGGTATAATCCTATTCCACAGATAATGTTATTAAAATAATAACCGGGTTGACAAATGTTCATAAAGGATGTAAATACAAAACTGAAATAAAGTAAGCCAACTTAAATTAAACAATTAAATAACATTGTATAAAACCAATGATGAATATGATACCCAAGATAAGGCAAAACAACCATGAATCATAAACCGGATAACACACCACATGGGAGGAAACAGAAACCCAAAATTATTCAAGACTACTCAAACCATACCCTGAAACACAAACCAAATCACACAAACCAAAAATAAGACCTCCCATACCGTGGTACACCAATCAATAAAACAAAATTAACTAAATTAATATCATAAAATCACAGAAGTTATAATAACATGAAAATGCAATAAACTAAATATAAGCAAAACAAAGTAACAAATCTCAAATTTTAGTGGGAAAGAAATGGTGGCCGCTAAAACCGAGAGAGGATTTAAAACCATTTCACATTTTTATTACACATAAAACCCCCATATTTCACCTTAAAACAAACAAAATACTCACTTTGATGACTGTATGTAACGGTCTCACTAAAGGCAGAAGTTGGTTGCAATGCAGTATATTCTGTACTTGGCTTATTAAAGTAAACAGTGATAGGGTTAGTGACGTATAAGCCAAGTAAGATAACCCATACTTGTAATTTTCCTCTGAATTCAACCCATCCAATTTGCATAGAGACAGCAGTGAATACGCACACAAATATTCATTCAACTTTATTTCTAGACTCACGGTCCATTAGCAAAACACTAAAACAATACGAAACACATTAAAAGAGACAGTTCTACCAGAAAGACTTGGGAGGGGAAGATAAAACTCAAAATAATTTACAAAGCTGATACAAAAAAAACAGAATTATTTGGCATAGGCCCCATCCGTAGCTTATATCTGAAGTCGGAGATTCCAGCTATTCCTGCCAAAGACGAAGGCAGGGCAGAGCCTACCCCCGCATGGACGGGGCCAACCTGGTGGTGGTGGGGAGGATGGAGGGAAACGACAGCGGCAGTATCTGCAGACACAATGAAGGGTGAGTAGATGGCTTATATATTCCTCGTGTTGAGTGGTGATTGGCTAGATCTAATTGTATGCGACTTGCGCTGACGCTTCCATTTCTACCAGAAAGACTCGGGAGGTGAAGATAAAACTCAAAATAATTTATTTACAAAGCTGATACAAAAAACCCAGAATTATTTGGTGTAGGCCCCATCCGTAGCTTAAATCTGAAGTCGTAGATTCCAGCTACCCCAAAAGAAAGAGAAGAAAAGGAAATACCCACCAGACGAAGTATTTCTTAGAAGATCCTAGAACATAAAACAAAAGAAAATATATTTAATTTAAAAAAAAATTATGAATTGAATTAGTTTAAAAATTTAGTCATAATTAAGGTATGACAAACGTTACATTTATCAGATTACAGGTGCATCTCAATAAATTAGAATGTTGTGGAAAAGTTCATTTCAGTAATTCAACTCAAATTGTGAAACTTGTGTATTAAATAATTTCAATGCACACAGACTGAAGTAGTTTAAGTCTTTGGTTCTTCACCTCCATGCCACGCCGAATTGAGGCAGTAATTAAAGCAAAAGGAGCCCCTACCAAGTATTGAGTACATGTACAGCAAATGAACATACTTTCCAGGAGTCAACAATTCACTAAAAATGTTTTTGTTATTGGTCTTATGAAGTATTCTAATTTGTCGAGATAGTGAATTGGTGGGTTTTTGTTAAATGTGAGCCAAAATCACCACAATTAAAAACCAAAGACTTAAACTACTTCAGTCTGTGTGCATTGAATTTAATACACCAGTTTCACAATTTGAGTTGAATTACTGAAATAAATGAACTTTTCCACGACATTCTAATTTATTGAGATGCACCTGTATAGCTGAAGTATTGGTGCTTATAAAGTAGACGAGATGGACCACAGAGGCCTCAGGGGGAGAGAGAGAGAGAGAGAGGCCACGATAGGCCGGATAGTAGGGCTGTGAATCTTTGGGTAGACCGTGAATCGATTCGATTCAAGAACGATTTTTGCAAATTCACAACGATTCGATTCACAATTAAATTCGATTCTGCATTCTTTAAGTGCACAGGATTATTTAAATGCTTCCCCTAAATTCTTTAAATGCTTAGTCAGGGGGCAAATTACACAGCAGTCTTTATGGTTATAGAACCATAGGTTAGAAAAAATAAAGAAAAAAACACTTGTCTATTGTTAGATGCTTGTTTAATGATTATATGGCATGACATGGCATATGTAGAAATTTATGTAAGCCAAGATTTTAAAAAAGAGCTTTAAAAGTATTACATAGGCTAACATTGTCACACCAGGGGCGTAGCCATCATTTCAGAAGTGACAGAAATGTCAAATACAAGAATTTTATGTATGTATTATTTTTACAAGGAATTATTTTCTTATCTCTTACTTTGAATTTGCTATAAGAAATCAAATACACTGCTGGACAATAATCACTCATTTGTAATCTATATTTTTCCTAATGACAATTTTATGATTGTCTTGTATACTACAAACCATTATTTCAATTTTCTGCACAGAATAAGGTAAAATATATATATATACACACTTTATAGTTTCTGTAGGCTACTGTAATAAATTGTCAATTAGCACTGCATCATTCATAAATTGTAATTTATTGTGTTTATTGTCTTAACATTAATTCATTCTGCTTTTTATACAGTTTAGCTGCAGATATAGCCTGGCACGTCTGTGAGCACGAGATAACTTCTCATTTTCATAAAATAAAATGCTATAGTATTTAACTTTTCCTCTCCATTGGCGCTATGGCATGACATGGCATATGTAGAAATGTATGTAAGCCAAGATTTAACAAAAAGAGCTTTATTATGTATAGGCTAATATTTTGTCACACCAGGGGCGCAGCCATCATTTCAGAAGTGACAGAAATGTCAAATACAAGAATTTTATGTATGTATTATTTTTACAAGGAATTATTTTCTTATCTCTTACTTTGAATTTGCTATAAGAAATCAAATACACTGCTGGACAATAATCACTCATTTGTAATCTATATTTTTCCTAATGACAATTTTATGATTGTCTTGTATACTACAAACCATTATTTCAATTTTCTGCACAGGTAAGGTAAAATATATATATACACACTTTATAGTTTCTGTAGGCTACTGTAATAAATTGTCAATTAGCACTGCATCATTCATAAATTGTAATTTATTGTGTTTATTGTCTTAACATTAATTCATTCTGCTTTTTATACAGTTTAGCTGCAGATATAGCCTGGCACGTCTGTGAGCACGAGATAACTTCTCATTTTCATAAAATAAAATGCTATAGTATTGAACTTTTCCGCTCCATCGGCGAATGAGGATTCTGAAAGAAACCGCTGCCGATGTCTGGTTGCTTGCAACGAACACTACTTTCATGCATCTGATTATCAGATAAGCTCTTATTTCAAGGTTGTTGTTAATGCTGTGGTTATTTTTTAAAGTTTCCTTCGTACATTCAGTTGAAGGACATTGTTAAAACACATTTATCATTCAATGGAACTGTGCGTATGCTTTAGATACTTACATTTTTGCTCCGTCCATGCAATAAATGCGCAGCCTTCGACTGCTCAGGTAATGTCACCGGTATGACTGAGAGCCACTGAAACTACAAAAAAGCAAAACTACTTCACTTTAGCATTACTGGCCACGAGTACTAAGAAGAGATCACACATCAGCTGCTCAAACATGTCAGTGAGACGAACGGAGCGCTAGCTCAATCCTGTGACAGTCACAGGCGGTAAATAGTGGAGCGCGTGAAGGAGAGATGCGAGGCACCAACACTGTTCAAGCTCTCCATTAATTCCTGCTTGTAGTAATTGAATGTGTATATATTTTAAAAGCATTGAATCGCTATAGAAATCGCAATTCATTAGATTCTTAGTGTTTTAAATCGATTACTGTCTGAAATCGACGATTCATGATTGAAAAATCCATGTTTCAAGATCGATACATTGCATTGTCAGGGTTTGTAATCGATACATCAAGAAAACAAGTGAATCGTTACACTCCTACTGGATAGTGATAGAGTCCACGATAGGCCACACAGAGAGAGAGAGGCTCTGTGCCACATGAGGAAAGGCCCTGATATGCCACAGGTGGAAAGGCCCTGATAGGCCACAGGATATAGTGAGAAAGGTCATTATATGCTACAGTAAGAAATACCTCAGAAGGCTACAGAGGGGAAACCTGAGAAAGGCAGGCCGCAGAAAAAAATGCCACAAAGATAGGCAACAGAGGGGAAGGCCGGAAAGACAGGCCGCAGAGTGAAAGGCTAAGTTAAGCCACAGATAGTAAACAATAGAGGCTGTTAGGAGTAATATGAAAAGGTATTACACCACCACCAGTAATTGCATATAAATTACCTTGAGGATAACTTTAAATTATTTGCTGAACCTTTGAGATGTTTTGTGGTTCAGGTCTAATGTATGATTCAAATGCGGAGAATGACCATCTGCCCAGCAGCTTAACTCCACATTCAGCAGCAGTAGTGGCCGGTGTATTGAGGCGGTGACAGACTACAGCTTTCTAAAACGGTGGCTAAATGAGAGCTGAACCAGCCACGGAGAGACCCCACCACCAGTGTTTGCTTAGATTTACCTTAAACATACTGCATTAAATTTATAACAAAAAGGCATAAATAATAAATATTTACAAACGAATGACTGTATGAACTATCTTAAACCATTTAACACAGAAAGACAGCATAATTCATGTAATGAGAAAAGCCATTACAGGCCAATTTTGCGATGGACAATGATAGGCGGAGTTACATAAGCAATAATAGTCACTTACCTTATGGTAACAATAGGCCAAATTGAGCAAAGGCCGCGATAGGCTGATTAATGTGAAGTCTTGATAGGATATGTAAAGTGAATGCCCAATGGGCTGCTTGATGGCGGATTACAGGGATTCTAAACCACCGCATTGTGTTAGAGATGCCATTAGTTTAGGTTAAATGATAGAGGTAGTATTAGGGTTCTAACAGCGACTAAGAAAGAGCATATACACGGATATATAATAAACATTAGGATGATCTCGTCAGATCCACTCCGGACCCGGTGCCCAGCCCACCATCTCCCCGCTGTGCGGAGTTAAAGCCAGAGCCCACCGATGACGGAGAGCCAATTCCCGCCGCGATCTACGAGCCAGTGCAATGCCGAGTGACTGAGCGGAGGATTGCCCCGGAAGTAGAGCCCAAGCCATCAGACCAGGTGCGAGAGCCGGCAATAATGTCCGCCACGAGGGAGAAAGCCTCGGACAGTGTGAGCGTGGAGAGGAGCTCCGCCCCCTGCACCGCCGCTGAGGGTGAGTGGAGTATGGAGCGGCGAAAGTGCCAAAGCGAAGAGGAGAGGGCTCCAGTCCCCAAATCCAGTCCAAAGTGCCCTCCAGTGCCCACTCCTAGAAAGCGCCCTCCGGTGCCAGCTCCTCGTAAGTGCCTTCAAGTGTCCGCTCCGCCTGAGCGCCATCCTGTTCCCGTGTTCAGTCTAGAGGGAGCTTCCTATCCAGAGTTAAGCCCTGAATGCCTGGAGACGCACAAATGCCCACCCTGATTTATATAGTGTGTGTTATTGGTAGCAGCTGTGTGTGATTGGTTTCAGGTGAGCTTGTGATTAGTGCAATGGAGCAATGGATGTGTAACAGTCTGTGTAGTGTGAGAGTCCGTGTGGAGAGCGGGTGACCTCTGGTGGTGAGTGAACGGAAGTTTATAGACCGGATTCGTGACAGTTATGAAGTTGATTTAAAATTCTTCATAACAAATTTTAAGAAGTTAAAAGTTAAGAAAGAATGAAATTATCCTGTAGGATATAGATCTATAGGCTAATTTTCTTAACTTTTATTAGACTGCAGATCGGAAAAAAATTCTTGATCATCTTTAAAATTAGAGAGATCACTGACATAATTTAGGCTACTTTCTTCGACTGCAGAAAAAAAAGAAACCATTTAATTTGCAGTGTTAACTTATGAATTAAATAAAAAACAAGAAATAAACCACAACAACAACAACAATAGTTTTTTTTTCTTGTAATCAAAATAAATAAAATAAATGTAAAAAATAAATAAATGCAGAAATAAATAAATGTGGAAATAAATACATAAATACATACATGTGAAAATAAATAAAAGTGGAAATAAATAAATGGTTGGTAACCTAAACTACACTGAAATGGCGATAGGCCCATGGATTACACTGGTAATGAGTTATGAGCATACTCATACCCATGAGATTTGCTGGCTTCAGGAGGAAGTATTCTGAGACACCAAACATCGTAATACTCTCTTTAAGTCTTGGTTGGCCAGTTCCATCTGGCCATTGCTCTGAGGGTGGAAACCAGAGGAAAGACTGAAACTCGCCCCCAGTAACTTACAAAACTCCCTCCAAAATCTGGACACAAATTGGGGTCCCCTGTCGGAAACCACATCCATCGGGAGGCTATGAATGCGAAAGACGTGATCTATGACAGTGGCCGCTGTCTCCTTTGCAGAAGGTAATTTGGGCTAGGGAATGAAATGGGTCGCCTTTGAGAACTGGTCCACCATGGTCAAAACTACCGTGTAGCCCTGAGAAGGCGGTGACAAAATCAAGTGCGATGTGGGACCAGGGTCTCGAAGGGACAGACAGTGGCTGAAGGAGCCCCCCCAGGGGTCGATTAGAAGTCTTACAGCGAGCACAGACAGAGCAGGCCAAGACAAAACCCCTAATGTCATGAGCCATAGATGGCCACCAGGATCATTGCTTAACTAAAAAAAGGGTACGATTGACCCCTGGATATGCAAGCCACGGTGGAACAATGACCCCATCGAATAACGTTGGATTGTAACCCCTCCAGCATGAATAATAGACAGTTGGGCGGAGGCATTACCCCTTGTAAGGCCGTGCGGACCTGATGTACTCAATGTTCTTGTGGTTAGTCCAGATGATAAAGGGAACCCCGAACCCTCTAACCAATGATGCCATTCTTCCAGCGCTAACTTTACTGCCAGCAACTCTCGGTTACCAATGCCATAGTTGCATTCGGCAGATGACAAACGATGAGGAAAAATGCACAAGGATGCAAAGGATATCCTATGTCATCAGCCCGGAACTGCTTCAGTGTACAACAGTGAGTGCAAGCTTGATTAAATTGATTATTACGTTTTAAATATGGTTTTTTTTCTTACAAAAACGCATCGATTCGCTACAGGAGGCCTTTGTTCACCCCCCGGAGCCAAGTGAGGCACTTTTTATTATGGATGGATGCGCTTTATTTCACTTCTTTTGGACTGATGAACTGCAACACCCGCTGACTGCCATTAAAAAGCTTGGAAGATCAAAGATAATTTTTAATATAACTCCGACTGGATTCGTCGGGAAGAAGAAAGTCATATACACCTAGGATGCCTTGAGGGTGAGTAATTCATGGGCTAATTTTCATTTTTGGGTGAACTAACCCTTTAAGGCGTGAGTGTGCTCGTTATACCACGGTGTCTTACTGTTTTCCTTAATCTTCTTTAAGTGTAAAGGAGCAACCGTATCTAAAGTGCTAGAAACTAGAGAGTCCATAGTTTCTGTAATATCATGAATTATTCCGAGCTATTGGATATGCTGAGGAATTGAAACAAGTCAGGAAGATTATTTACAAAGCAGTCTTTTGTGGTAGAAGTGATGGTTCTACCATATTTGTTACAAGGAGTTGAATTTGCAGCTTTACCTATATGGAGTATATACGAGACTAGATAATGATCCGAGATATCATCACTCTGCCGCAGAATTTCAACGCCATTAACATTAATTCCATGTGACAGTATTAAAAAAAGTATGATTATGACAATGAGTAGGCCCTGACACGTGTTGTCTAATCCCAATGGAGTTCAGAATGTCTATAAATGCTGATCCCAATGCATCTTTTTCATTATCAACATGGATATTAAAATCACCAACAATTAAAACTTTATCTGCAGCCAGCACTAACTCGGATAGAAAATCAACAAATTCTTTGATAAAGTCTGTATGGTGGCCTGTATACAGTAGCCAGTACAAATGTCACAGGGGATTTATCATTAATGCTTGTTTCTCTGGGTAATGTTATTTACTGTAAATCACCATTACTTCAAACAAATTATACTTGAAACATGAGCTCTGAAAAATACTGAAAATATTACTATAAATTTTAGCAACACCTCCCACTTTCCCTTTTGGACGTGGCTCATGTTTATAACAATAATATTGGGGGGTAGACTCATTTAAAATAATGTAATCATCTGGGTTTAGTCAGATTTCTGTCAAACAGAGCACATCTAAGTTATGATCTGTGATCATATCATTTACAAAAAGAGCTTTTGTAGAAAGTGATCTAAAATTAATCAAGCCAAGCTTTTTCATTTGTTTATCTGTATTATATCTGTATTTTATTTCTTGAACATCAATTAAATTGTTACCCTTAAATTGTTTTGGAATTTTTTTTGTATTTGCTAGTTCGGGGAACAGACACAGTCTCTATAGTATGATATCTAGGTGAAAGAGTCTCTATGTGTTGAGAATTAACTGACTTCTGTGACATGAGGCGGCTAGCAGACGGCCGGTTTAGCCAGTCTGTCTGCTTCCTGACCTGGGCCCCAGTTAGTCAAGTACAAACTCTAAGATAATGTGCTCTATTTCTAGAGAGAAGAGCGGCACCACCCCAGGAGGGATGAAGACCTTCTCTTTACAACAGGTCAGGTCTGCCCCAAAAACTCGTCCAATTGTCTATGAAAATGTGCTCTATTTCTAGAGAGAAGAGCGGCACCACCCCAGGAGGGATGAAGACCTTCTCTTTACAACAGGTCAGGTCTGCCCCAAAAACTCGTCCAATTGTCTATGAAACCTATGTTATTCTGTGGGCACCACTTAGACATCCAGCCATTGAGTGACGACAGTCAAGTCAGTTTTATTTATATAACGCTTTTAACAATACAGATTGTGTCAAAGCAGCTTTACAGTATCAAAATAGGAAAATAGTGTGTCAATGCAAAAGGACAATAGTAAACACTAAATTTTCAGTTAAAGGCAGTTCATCATTGAATTCAGTGATGTCATTGTCCAGCTCAGTTCAGTTTAAATAGTATCTGTGCAATCAAGTCGACGATATCGCTGGAAATTAAGTGTCCCAATAAAGCAAGCCAGAGGCAAGAGCGACAAGGAACCTAAACTCCATCAGTGACAGAATGGAGAAAAAAACCTTGGGAGAAACCTGGCTTAGTCGGGGGGCCAGTGCTACAGCACGGTTAGATTGTGCAGAGAGCTCATCTGGTTCCGTGGTCTTGTCACAATGGCCGTCTAGGAGACAAGGTCTTCACTGGGAATCTGTCTCTGGGGCTCATCTAGTTGTCCTGATCTCCGTCCTGAATTTCAGGTCTGTAGAGGTCATCTCTAGGTGCTGATCCACCATCTGGGCTGGATACGGACTGGATCTGGTGGCTACGGTGACCTTTGTCCCGCGACTATGCCGCCTCACAGTCACACAGTCGCCCTGCTGCGGGGGCTCTGCAACCGGAACTGAACAATGTGCGGGACTTGCTAAGCTAGTCACATCCAAAGCCGTATATAAGGCCCTCACATTCTTACTATCTTTAATGAAAGTTTGGATGCGTGTCTCTAGTTCTAAATTCTTCTCCTTCAGCCTAACTATTTCCCTGCATTTATCACATGTGAGTCCCTCGCCGCTGACAGAGAAAGCTACACTATACATAAGGCAAGCAGTGCAAGTGACAATAACAGGAGAAGCCATTACTCATCGTGATTGTTGAATGATTTCGACTTACCACAGTTGTTCGATGAACTCGTGAAAAATGGAACGAGAGAGAAAAGAAATGGAGTAAGAACGGAATGCTAACTCGCTGCACTCGCAGTTTAGATTAAAAAGCGAACAATATCAAATTTTTATGTTAGATAATATCAGAAGTATGGTGATAATTAAGTTATATTTTAGCAGTTTAAACAACAGAAAGTTATAATAAGATAGAGATTCCAACAGAAAAACAAAGCTACACTGAGCTACAATCGCAAATCACTCAGTAGCACAGCAGATCCATCTCTTTAACCTGGCATACACAACACACTATCACATTTCTATAATTCAAATCCGTTAAAGGATTCTCTAGCAGCCGCTGGAGCACCCATCTGACATGCTGGATGTGTTCCTGGAAAGAAGAAGAAAATATCAATATGTCATCCACATACACATATATGAACTGATGAACCATATCTCTCAGCATGTCATTGACGAATGCTTGGAATACCACAGGTGAGTTGGAAAGGCCAAACGGCATAACAAGATATTCAAAGTGTCCTCTGGGGGTATTAAATGCGGTCTTCCGCTCATCCCCCTCCCTAATGCGGACATAAAAAAATGATAAGTTCTGCGAAGATCCAGCATTGTGAAAACGGACGCTTCCTGCAACCGCTCGAAAGCTGAAGACATCAACGCAAAGGATAGGTATTCTTAACCGTGATATTGCTCAGCCCTCTGTAGTCAAGGTCACAGAGAGTGATCCTTCTTCCCCACAAAAAAGAACCCTGCCCCAG